TATCATTTAACACATTAATTAACGCATCAATAATGGCAAACGTTAACAATAATGGGTCCATTATTGTTAACGTTTATTGCATGTAATGACATTTTATAGGTTTTGATCAACTTATAAGTTCACTAGGCGCGCTTGCTATAGTCCGCCATTAATTTTTGCCACCTTAACTTATAATCCAACCTTCCTAATTTACTTTAGTCCTCCAATTTTCTGCTCCTTGGTTTAATCCTTTAATCCCTAATCCACTATTTATCCATTGTGGTTGAAATTACTCCCATGTTCGGCGTCTAAAGGCACTTGAAAAATTTTTTACCTTAACCTTGAATCGTTTAGATCTACCATTTTTGTATTAACCCTTTGACCTCAGAAATAATTTTTTAGCCATTTTTATTTGGCGCTACAACAGCAATATTTTAAACGGTTGGTAATCCTCGAAACATTTAGTATTATTAGTAATTCTGGCATTTATCTCGAGATATTCAGTATGACAGAGCCAATAACTGCCAATCGTAAAACATTTATCAATTGGTATTTAGTTTTACTATAATATTAGAGTTTATTCCCTGGATTATTTTCCGTAACGTAGCAATTACGTACGTCATCACATTATTTTATTTTTTTTATTTATTTATATATTTAAATTTTATATATTAAAATCGATAACGAGTCATCGTTGTTATCTTGTTGAAAGTTAAGCTTGTGTTTCAAATCTTGCGTCGTTTAAATTAAAATATTGAACACATGCCTTGTTGGAAATGTAATAGATTATATCATACATTACTACATTTACTACATTTACTACATTTACTACATTTACTACATTACTACATTTAGTTGCCTCTTGCTATCAATTATTCGCGTTCAGTGAAGTATATTTGCTTTAAATCTCGACATGTTGTCATGAGATCTTTTTACATTTCCTTATGGATTTAACAACGGCTGTATTGTTATAACTATAAATATATATAAAGAGTGTTTCCAAACAAATTCATATATAATATTACTGTTTCATATATCGCATAACTGAATTATTTATTACATCATTGGTGTATCAAATAAATATATATAACAGTATTTCCAAACAAATATATATAATATTACTGTGTCATATATCTCATAATTGAATTATTTATTACATCATTACCGTATCACAATAAATATATATAACAGTATTTCCAAAAAAATCTATATAATATTACTGTTTCATGTATCTCATAACTGAATAATTTATTACATCGCTCATTGCTGTATCACAATAAATATATATAAGTTATTTCCAAACAAATATATATAAAATTATTGTTTCAAATATCTCATAACTGAATAATTTATTACATTACTGGATCATATATAGCATTTCTGCAGCTCACTGGCAGCAAATTTTCCGCAGTGTCGAGGAATGCAGCTTGCAGAAAAGTCGGAACAATTTTTTTTCTATCAGTTCCTGGTCCGTGGAACGTAGGGTCATGGTTCATGTGAACCAAGGCTTCATTTGCATACAATGTATATATAAATATAATTTTTGTTCAATATATATGTGTAAATAAATATAAAAAATCTGCAATGTATTAATCCCGGCACATATAGGGACCCCAGAGCGTCAGTCCCGCTTCTGCCTTTGCGGAACCTCTAATAAAAATTTTACTGTACCAATTTAATTCTAAGCATTATATAGTTTTATTAATTTATTTTAAACTACTTTATCGACGAGACTTAATAGTAACGTTCTGTAAGATTATTCTATAAGTTATACTTCTGATTTAATATCTTTAAAAACTATTTAGACTTTTTCTCTTATAGACTGTGTCCAGTTTAAATTAAAATAATTGCACGTATGGTCATTATTAGGAAAAACATTTAATAGATGCCTATGCAATTATTTTTGCGATTATATAGGATCAATTATTCCAGTTGAGCATAACCGAGGTTAATCTATCGGGATTAATATTCTTTCGGGATTAATAATATCACAAGTAATAGTCTTTCGGGAGTAATAATTTATCGGGATTAAGAATATTTCGGGATTAATTACCCCTCGAAATTAATAATCTTTCGGGATTACCACTCTTTCTGGAGAAATAATCTCTCGTGATTAATAATCGTTCGGGATTAATAACCTTTTGGGATTACCGATCTCTCGGTATTAATAATCTTTTATATAAATAAGAATCCCGTTATCCTCAATCCCGTAAACCTGGATCTTGTTTGCGCGAATCCTGTCATAAATCCTGTCACCCAAAATCCCGGTAATAACTATTCGATTATCACATTTAAACTTAATAAAAACATGTTCAAACCCCTCGATAAAAAGCATTATTTGAAATTAAATTTGAATTTACATGTTTCATAAATCTAATTTATATCGTTGATCCAACTCTCCTTCAATTTTGCAATGTCTCGCTATTTTTGGTAATAATAAATTGTATATAAAAAATATAAATATATAAATCCCTATATATCGCAGAACCAATCCCAAAACACCCAAAATTTAACAATAATACAATGTATAATATAAGATAATATAATAAATAAATAATATCATTTTAATTATACGCCCTTATTATATACACAATACGTCCTTGAGTTTATTGTTTTATTGTGGAATAAATTGGGGAGGAACGGCGATCGTATATCGCTGATATATAAAATATCGCTGATATATATATCTGATATATATATATATTTTATATATCGCTGATATATAAAAGTTAGGAAGAAAAGATGGCGGTCCAACGTCTGCTCAGGTGAAGGGTGATCCGGATATAAGAAAATCCCAAATGGACCACTTGGTAAGTATATTTCATTTAGTTCGATATCCAGTACGCAGACTTAATTGAAATAACATTGAATTCGTATAATTAAATTTTTTCATGTAATATATTTGGCACGTGTTCATTGAGTTAGTATTATTCAGGAATTTCATGTAATATATTCACCCCATATTCATTCAGGTCGTCATATACATATATTTTATATATACGTTCAGGACATTCATTAAAGCCCATAAAATTCATTTAGCTCATGCAATGCATTCAACGCGCATTCATTCAGTTTTTATAGTTCATAGAATTCATTCAGTTCGTAAAATATAAGGTATACAAGTCCTAGAAAGCTGCAAGCATCCTAAAAAGTTGCACAAGCTCTAAAAAGTTGTAAGAGCCATAAAAAGTTGCAAAAGCCCTAAAAAGAAGTACAAGTTCTAACAAGTTTGTTGTAAGTTGCTTCTTCCAAGAATTGCATGATAGTTAGACCTGCAATTCCACGAATATCAGCATTGACTTAACTTACAGCTGCCATAACTTTTTTAAAGTTTATCAGAAGGCCATCAAGTCTCATCGTCTGAAATCAAGGACCTTAAAAACAATAAAGTCTATCTCGCACAATCAAGGTCCTTGAAGACAATCAAGTCTCTTTGCCTACAATCAAACAACATTAAGACAATCAAGGGCAATCTAGGGTCACAAGCCAACCCCAAATTCCCCTTTTCCCGCACCCGCCGAACCCAGAACCCCCCTTTTACCCCCGCCTCCACACTGCAGGTAAACCCCCGCGGGACGCGCGGGTTGCCCACTGCAAACAAAGGAAGAAATTATACGGCGGCTCCGTGTGCGATATTTATACGGGCGGGACCCGCCAGGGCCTTCAGTGTACCCTGCGACGCCGAGGTGGGTGCACGCTCGTTTTGTAGTCTCGCTGATTCCAGGAATTATCCCAAATACTCACGTTAATTCTATTGATCATGAAAATTTAATCTACCTGTATTACTGATGGCGCAATGATATTTTCTTTGACACGTTTTAATTATTTTTTATAACGAACTGCAATTTTTTTGAATTGTTAGCAAATTATTAGTTTTCCGAGAATTTTGAAGGTCATTTTTTACCATTTCCAACCGTGTAGCATGTTATTTAAATAGTAGCAAAATTGTTATTTTTTAAATATCATTTTCATGCATTTCCTCATTTATGAAATCAGCATTATCAAGCATATCCTAATTTATGAATTCATGCATTCCATTTTTTTCGTAAATTTCTTCAATATTTTCGAAGTTATTGTAAATTTTTCATCGCTTACGCATTTATATTTTTCTTCCCTTAGTTTCTGTGGCGTTAATTTCAACGTAAACATCACAAATTACAGCGATATGATCGGCCGTAAACTCAGTGCCGTTATTCTAACGGCCGCCTGCACGGCTGTGCTCTTCGCCTCCACTTACGGTGAGCCGTACGGGAATCTTTAAATTAATGATAATATACTATTTTATTGTTATCAATTTAATTATTTATTGATAAAGTGATGAAATTTATTATAGAATTACACATCCTACACATCCTGGATATCCTTAAAATCAGTTACACCCGCCGTATTCAAGGCTGGCTTAGATTCTCAAGGCTGCGCCTAGCCACGGCTAAGGCTTTCCAGGATATGAGTCAGGATCATGGCGATCAAGTTTGTTTCTAGGAATCCCAATAATTGAATGTTAAGCTAATTAATATAAAATTATTCGAGGCTAAAAGAACAACATCGAAGAACATCCAAAAAGCGCTAAATATCTCAATGGATATAATTTATAATCAATATTTAATGATATATAGAATTTTCTATCAATATCAAGTTGGTCTCTAGGAATTCCAATAATTGAATGTTAAGCTAATTAATATAAAATTATTCGAGGCTAAAAGAACAACATCGAAGAACATCCAATAGACGCTAAGTATCTCAATGGATATAAGATATAATCAATATTTAATGATATATAGAATTTTCTATCAATATATTATAATTATATTATTAGGCATCTTAATTAATATAAGATTACCAACCGTATAACGGAACCACGTGACGTCACAGGCAGCGATGACGTCAGAATTCGAGGTGATTAACAGACAGAATTAATTATCCATGGTCATGAATAGGTTGAAAATATTTCCGGTGGTAAACGAATGACTTCCAATAAATTACAATTGACATGGATACAGAAATTCACAATAAATCCTGTAAAAACGTAATTTATCATGACGTTTATAAAACATCAAAGACAGAAAATAAATGATAGAATAACGAATATACCATAGCATATAGCATAGCCATATTCGTATTGGCATTTGTAATTATAGATCACACGTTGACGAGTGTTGTAGTCTTCTAAATTTTAACAATAAATATTTTTTCGCAATTTGTTAATCAATTATTAATCAAATTAGTAATTTTGTAGTGTATATTTTGCCGTATTATTATTGACAGAGACCAGCCTGCACAGAGACCAGCCTGCACAGAGACCAGCCTGCACAGAGACCAGCCTGCACAGAGACCAGCCTGCACAGAGACCAGCCTAAAGAATAAGAAAACGAACGTTAAGAAAAACAGAACCAAATTAATTGAAGTATTATATCAGCCGATACCGGAATTAGTAATAGTTCTGTTAATAATAATAATAAATGATAATTAATATTATATTAGCCAACAACGAAACATACACACGATAAGACTGTGTAGAAGCAACAATAAAAATAACCAGCACTAAAAAACAGACAAACAATTGAATATAGGCAAGAAAACACAAACAAACAGAGGAGCTAATACAACAAGACATCCACACAGCGGAAAATACATTAATAAACAAATATACAAATCTAACGAAACGTACACTCAGTCACACAAGAACGTTTCTTTTTTTTAGACATTCTCATCTCCGAAACTTTATTTTTAAATGATGTTTTAAGTTTCAATAGCAACATTTTATTATTTTTAAATAATCTTATATGTTTTAAATGATGTTTTTTCGTTTTTAACAACATTTTCTCTGTTATTCCTTGACAGGGCAAAGCCCCAACTGCCTAGGATGTTTGTGCGAGGCCTCCTCAGGCTGCAATAGGACCATAGGATGCTCGTCCTTCGCAGGATATCACTGCGGACCATTCCTGCTATATTATACTATACCATATTATATTTTATTATATTATATTATTGTATTATATTATTTATATTATAAAAAAGCGTTTCCTGTCCATGCCCCCAAAGCGCGACCCGAAAGGCAAAGGATGTGACTTACGAATAATTCAAGTTTAAAATAATAGTCAAAACAACTTTTTGTGATAGCAAATGATGGTAAATATGGTTTTAAAAACTTTTTATTATATGACTGTAAAATCAAGGAATGTGTCATACGAAAATTCTCAGTTTAAAATAATTATCCTGATGACGTTGTGTGATAGCCATGCACGGTTAGATACAGCGGTAAAAATCCAGTTAATTAGGATTTGAATTAGGATGATTTTACGTCTAAAAATATCGCAAAAGTAAACAATAAAATAAAATTTTGAATTTATGGTTATACAATACAAATTTTTACAGTTGAAATTTATGGTTTAAATAATGATACTGATTCTCAACTATGTTCGTGGAAACGAAAAAGGCTATATTCGGCAAGATTAGTGTTATATTTCAGAAATTTTAGTGCTAATTTTTTTTCATAAACGTTGATTATCCTTAGAAAACAACAAAATTTACACTTAACGTGAACATTTACGAAAAAAATAACGAAGAAAAAATATATTTTTTCGCTATATTCGAAACTTTTCTGTACATTTCAGCATTTGAAGCCTGCGCCAACGACATCTACTGTGCCGCCGACACCGTGGCTCTCTACCTCAAGAAGTTCGAACAGGTAGAACATCTACTTCAGAATGTACATTTAGATGTGTGACTCAGACAGGTAGAATATCTACTTCAGGATGTAGATTTTGATGTGTACGTCAGATAGGTAGAACGTCTACTTCAGGATGTAGATTTTGATGTGTACTTCAGACAGGTAGAACATCTACTTCAGGATGTAGATTTTGATGTGTACTTCAGACAGGTAGAACATCTACTGCAGGATGTAGATTTTGATGTGTGACACAGACAGGTAGAACATCGACTTCGGGATGTAGATTTTGATGTGTACTTCAGACAGTTAGAACATCTACTTCAGGATGTAGATTTTGATGTGTACTTCAGACAGGTAGAACATCTACTTCAGGATGTATATTTTGATGTGTACTTCAGACAGGTAGAACATCTACTTCGGGATGTAGATTTTGATGTGTGCTTCAGACAGGTAGAACATCTACTTCAGGATGTAGATTTTGATGTGCACTTCAGACAGGTAGAACATCTACTTCAGGAGGTAGATTTTGATGTGTACTTCAGACAAGTAGAACACCTACTACGGGATGTAGATTTTGATGTGTGACTCAGACGTATAGGTAGATCATTTACTTCAGGATGTAGATTTTGATGTGTGATTCAGACAGGTAGGATATCTACTTCGGGATGTAGATTTTGATGTGTACTTAACAATGTGAATTTAGACAATTACATTTTGTTCAATTGAGCATAGACCAATCGCGGCATGTTTTTCAGTGGAAATTAGTACACTGTAACATAATAAAAAAAACTATTGCTTCGGAGGTTATTGTGCGTGTTATGTAGAGATTTAGTTTATAACATCAACCAACAATTTTAACAGCTCGCTGAGTCTCGAAACATCACACTTAACATGCATTCTCTCGAGTCACGCTCATCCATTCTTACACTCGTAGTCACGCTCAATCATTCATACACTCGTAGTTTCTTTCATTCATACACTCGTAGTTTCTTTCATTCACACAATCGAGATCTCCTAAATTCATTCATACACTCGTAGTTTCTTTCATTCATACAATCGAGATCTCCTTCATTCATTCACACACTCGTAGTTTCTTTCATTCATACACTCGTAGACCCAGGACTGCAACGGTGACGGGCAGGTCACGTGTCTGGACTACGCACTCATTCACAAGATCGGGGGCTACGGCTGCCGCGCCCCCCTCCCCCCCAACAACCCCTACTTCCTGGCCCTCGACCACTGCCTCAGTGTCATCAATGAATCATGAATAATTCAGCAATTAAATAGTGATGAACAAGTAATCTATTAGTTAGTGGTGAATAATCCAACAATTAATTAGGATGGATAATTCATCAATTAGTTAGTGGTGAATAATTCGTCAATTAATTAGTAATGAATAATCACTATAGTGGTGAATGATTCGTCAATTAATTAGTGATGAATAATTTATCAATTAGTTAGTGATGGATAATTAATCAATTATTTAGCGATGAATAATTCATCAAGTCGCTGTGATGAATAGTTCATCCATTACTGAGTGATGAATGTTTTTTTTACGTTGTTCTGATGAAAGATTATGATGCTATGTATATGGATAATTCATCAATTAGTTTCTGATGAATACTACATCATGTCATTATGTTAAATGTTTCATGAAGCCTAATTAATGCTAATTATCAGGGCGACTCATAACTCATGTTGCGTGATCTTTGCAATGTATGTTAAAAAAATTGAAAAATAATTAAAATTCTGCTAATTGATCAGCTATGAGATTTTCCACAGAGAAAAAATAAATATAAATAAATTTGAGATTTGTCTATTATAAATTACAAGCGCAAAACGAAAATAATTGTCAATGAACGAAGAGAAACGGCATTTTTTTTAATCAGGAATGGATTTATATATTACTTGATGAAATATATTCATGCGAGCGTTTTATAATTTCATAAATATTTCTTTGAATAATACTTACATACTAAATTACTTGATTTTTCACAGCAGTATTATTTAATTAATTTAACGCTAAGTGGAAGAATGACCGTGTTTGTGATTCATTCGTTGTTTGTTCACTATAAATGATTTAATCATCATTGTAATCAGGCATTAAGAAAATATATTTGTGTTATTCTGAAAAACAAAATTGTTTGATGATCCTTCCGAATTGTTAAATTATGAAAAATTTCTTAAAGGGAACTTTTGGGACACAAAAATCTCAAAATTTTGCTTTTCCTTTCTTTCCGCGTGTCTAACGCAGTAAACAAATTAAACAAAAATTAAATTAACAGATACAAATTTACATGAAATTAACATTTTTCAGCAATATGTACAAGGGTTTCTTTAAAAAACTGAATTTACAGATCATTTTTTGCATTAATTGCGATGTGTTTGGACTCATTTTGAAGCTGCGAACAAGGCGCGTTTAACATAGCAAAAAATACATTATATGAATGTAATACTTCTTTTGCGAAAGGCAGTTTTGAACTTTTATAAAATGGTCATTTTATATAAATATATATATAGATTCACATTTATCGTGCCTAACTGCTAAGTTTCATAAGCATCTTTGTCACACTGTATTGTTCGTAGAAAGCAGCTCCAAGTTGCAAGGATGCGCTTTGATTATAATAATAATAAATAATAATAATAATAGCGGTTTCAGCGTTTATTAGGCCGTAGGCCTGTCGCCGATTCTTAACATCGCAGAACATTCACAGCATTTCGCGGTCTTGAACTCCCAACTCACTGCTACAATTGTGCTATGCTTAACCGCCCGGCCTCCTCGCCGATTCTGACCAGAAACTGGCGCACAGAGCTGGGATCGAACCCGCGCCTCTCTGCGCCAATCTTGGTACTCTGAACTGTAACCACTGGGCCACCCTACGTATTATACGTAGGTACGTAGCTGTAGGCAAATTTCAGACTCAATTGTCTGACTTACATTTGATAAACGTTACTGAGCATCCACAATACCGATGTACAATACCGAAAAAATTGTGATATACCGAAAATATATATTTTTATTTCCTCCGAGGCTGTGAATTTTTCAAAGTAGCTTTCAAGCGTTTTCTTTGTCTCTAGCTGGAACACCCATTGACAGCTCGAAATAGCCTCGGTTGACATCTTTGCATTTCAAGTTTCAAATAAACACTTCATACTGAAGAAATTCTCTTTCTTCTGCTTCATCTTATATAGAAATCATAATGATCACCGATCACCGACATGTGGAACAGCCTCCCCAATGACATCGTTGGCGCTCCAAGTATGAACGCGTTCAAGAACAGACTAGATAAAGCTATGGAAAAATATATGTTCAGATTTGAAATGCGTCGCTCCTTATCGAACCTGGTGGTAGTCTAGTAGCTACTTCAAACTATCGTCAGTCATGAAAAGATCCGGTCAAATGACACGAGTTTAGATCTATGAACAAGGCACGAAAAGGAAAAGAATCGGCGACAGGCCACATCAGGCCTACACTTCAGCGCCGACATCACTATGTTATGTTATGTTATGATGATGTTTCTAAGTATATCTAATAAATTAAAGGCTTGAAGGGCAAGTCTTATGAAGAAATAATAACAATTATGAAGCTTCCAAGCCTCAGTTATCGACGTCTGCGTGGGGACCTCATTGAAGTATACAAGTATACTCATGGTTTAAACAAGGTCCCAGAAGGATTACTAGAATTTGAAACAAGAACCAACACCAGGGGCCACGACAATAAACTAAAAATAAAACTACGCAGCAACTTGTCCACGCGAAAACATTTCTTCTCGCTTCGAATAACCGACATGTGGAACAGCCTCCCTGATTAAATCGTTGACGCTCCGAATATGAATGCGTTCAAGAACAGACTAGATATGATATGATGACATAACGGGACGCCTGCGGAGACACCACTGCCTTGCTTCGAATGGACTATCATATCCGGAAATACGCTAGGCGTTTCTTTCAGGGCTGATTGGTGCACAAATTTAGTGGTGCACGGCTGCGTACCCGACATAACTATGATGTGATATGATGATATTCGATCCGGTAAAGCGGACATGGAAGATTCCGACGATGCATGTTGGGGCTTGTTTTTCTCAGTTGCCACTTAGTCCGGGAGTCGAGAAGAAAACGGACTTCGTCGAAGACGGACGTACGTGAGTAGCTCTCTTTAAACTAATCAATCGGGTTTAAACTTCGGCCCGAGACGGACGTAAGTTACTGTGCTCTGTGCCCGACTGTGAAAATCACATAAATATAGTTGAATATTTGATATTGTAATTATTGATAGGTGTGTGGAGCAAAAGCTTGAGGCTAGAAGCTCCTTATTTATCTAAACGATGCCGGTGCGTCGGCAGAAGCGGCGGCCGGCGTAAGGGGGGCAGTTCGTCTATGTCTGATTCAGACGGGGACACCGGCTCTTCTGCGACTGCATCATCAACGCTACAGAAAACCTCCCGTAAACAACCAAAGCATTCACAGGATTCAGGAAGACCCTCATAGCCAATCATTGCCAGTTGCTGATGGAGATGGTTCACTGCCAGCGCCGAACAGCTCGATGTGCATTTCCGATTCCAAAACCTCCAACATGCCAACATTAGCTGACCAACTGGGTGAACTGCCATTGCCATTTGCCAGTCTTGGAAGATGTAGAGGAGGCCAGTTCTGGTGATAGGCTTGGTGATCCTGGAAATCTGGAATTGGAAACTTTGAGGGTTTTACCTGTCTCAGTGGACCTAGTCAGCTCCCACTTGACTCAGGGGAATCTGAAGGTGAGAGCCTCTTGAC